ATATATATATTAGGATGTTTATCTGGCAGACAAGCTTGATTACTTTGAAAATTTAGCGATATATAATGCAATCAAGCAATTGGCTTTACAGAAAGATTCAAGAATAAATAAACCAGCTGACATAAATGAAAAGGTAATACCAACCAATACTAATCCAATATATACTTATTAATTCAATATCAAGATTTAATTTTTTTGGCAAATAGACATTAGAAGCGGTTGTAAACTGTTTAACTTTTGCAGAAACGAAGCAATTATTAAATTTTCGGCCGATCGATCCATCTATAAACAATAATAATGATGCATCATTGCTTGGATTGACTGTGGAAGAACTAAATAAAACCGTTGAAAACGATTCAAGAGAATTAAATGTTTGTCATCTTATGATTTTTTGTGTATACACATTAATACTTTGCATTACTTAATAATATTTGTTAATTGTTTTCATTATAAAGAAACATAAAGAAACAGTCTTGAGTTGCATTGAAAACAGACTTACAAGACAGTGCATAGATGTAGCTAAATTTTATTACACTGAAGAAGGTAAGAAAAAGTTAGCATTATTATATTTCAATTATCTTAAATTTATGTGGAATACTACAGAAGTATTGTATTTCAAATTAGAATCAAAATCCGAAACGCAAAAAAATGCTGTTTGCTAAGGCATCTAAATTGGACACAATCTTAACCTCCCAACTTGAGGAATTACGGCTTGCTAAAATCAATAGAATTATAAATCAATTCCGATTAGGAAATCAAATAACAAATTATATGAATGTAAAGTATATTATTGTTATGATTTAGTAATTTCATTGGGGTCTATCTTAAACGTAATATTTAATAATAGGTATTGAAAGATATTTTATCCATTCTTTGGAATATTATCGAGGAATTTAAGTTGCGTCATGAATTACAAAAAAACACTATTTTTAACGACTATTTTTCAATGCTTGTTAAAAATATCGGTTTAAAATTGAGGTTTGAATTTTATTTACTTTGTTATTTAGTCTACCCATTTTGCAAAAACTTATGTCGTACAAATCCAGAGTACTTCGATTAAACGCCTTGATTGTTATTTATGATAAAGAAACTGTAGAAGGACTCACGTCAATAAGGTATGTATGTTCTATATATATATGTAAATATATATATACATATATATACATGTATTTATTATTATTATTGTTTCTTTATTATTAAGTTAGATTAAAAAGAAATTTTACATCACATTTATAAAATAGGGATAATCTTATGCGTGAAGAAAAAGATTATCACCAGGAATTAGATGCATTGGAAGCGCAACTTTCACGATATCAGGGTTTTTGCGGAGAGTTTGAGCAAATTGTGCAATGCTATAATAACTTGAATAAAGAAATTGAAAAAGTGAAAGATGATATTCAGAGAATGACTGTATAATTAAAATACATCCTAAAATAGTGATCGATTTTGTCAAACAAAAAAAT